CCACGTCATACCATCTGCAGCCACACGGGACCTATCGATTATTTGAGAAACCCTGGAACACAACCTTGTCCCTTGTGTTGTCAGTCCTCACTGTGTCCCAATCCTGTTTTGACACCAATCACCCGAACTACTGTGCAGTAGAACAGAAGAACGTGCCGGAACTGGCCAAGCAGAACTCACCAGAGTCCGACAAATTGCTCTCACTCAGAGTAAACAGACAGCGCACGACTCGTGTGACCTGTGATTCTTCCCGTCCTCTGTAATAAGTCTGGAGGCTTTTTGGAGGTCAGTCGGTTTGAATTGATTTGACCTTTAGGAGAAGGTCCTTCGAGGAGAAGATTCTGAGGCGGAAAATAATTCACACTCACATTCACACCTTTTGTGGAGTGAACAATGAGCCCCACCCTGCGTGGTTCTTGACAGTAGAAGGAAACTGGAGAACCTGGAGAAAACCCATGAAGTCGTGTGAGAACGTCTCCCCACTCCTGTTCTTTACTGCTGACATTATTGTGTTTTCCGAAGCCTGGAGATATTTTAATGTTCACCAAGAAGATCAAAAACAAGAAATGTAGTTATCCATGAAAGAGCAAGAAAAAAAAGAAAAGAAACAAAGAAAAAAGTTACAATAAATTAATTAGGCTGTTTGCGAACCCAACGTAATCAGGCACTCGACAGAGTGGGCGTTGATCAATCAAGAGAAACAAACAGGAGTGAGTCATGACATTCATGAATGCAGAAACATACAGTGTGATTGTGCTTTTGAACCTTGAAAGGAAATGAATGGAGCGGAGCAGCACTGTCAAGGCCAGACAGCTCCACGTCACGGAAGGGAAAAGAGCAGCAGAAGAGGGAAAAAGTGGGCGTGGCCTCTGCAATTATCTGTAGCATCGTGTGACACTAATTTGTCAAGAGAGAAAAAAATGGTTCTAAGTTAAATGTTAGGAAGTTACAGATAAAGTAGGTTGTGATCTAGTGTGAAAAATCCCCCAGAATTCAACAAAGTTCTCTGACACGGAAACAGTTACGACTAAAATGTAGGAGAGGAGTCTTTTATAATATATAAGTCACTCTGAGGTATAAGTCGCACCAGCCAGCTAGAGTGCCCTCTAGCAGCTGCTAGTGTGATAATAACAAACATGTGGAATTATGAATTTTATTATATAAGTCGCACCTGAGTAAAACCCAGCCAAAGGATGAAAAAAAAGTGCGACTTATAGTCTGGAAAATTTGGTGACTATAAAAAGTTGAAGTCTGACTGACTCTAGTTTTTGTTGAGGGGACCGGCCTTCGATGGTCCACCAACCACCCTTTATTTCACCCACCTCGAGGCAAACTTTGCATAAATCTGCTCAACCAATAAACAAGTGGTTGAGCTGAAAATCCAAACTCACTTAAGTTTTTTAAAGATTTTTTCATGTGCCTTAAAAAGAAAATCTTTTCTTGTTTTTTATTAATAATGAAAGAAAGGATTTGAAGCGAATACTGAATAATTTAACAATAAAAAAACCCTCATCCCAGTCCTGACCTTTTATACGTTGTTCTCCAGCCTTGCAATACGTTTCTGAGTATTGCAGTATTTCTCCTCAGAATAAGAATGAAAGCATATAAAAAGTTTTGTCAAGCGTTGTATTTAAAGCCTTCCCATCCGCTGTATGAAGAATTGAGTTCTTTGAATGAGCAGGAAAGAGGTTGGATAATGAGAACGGGCTTGAATGAAAAGTCTCCGGGAACTGATAATTGTCTATTGAGTTCCATCAAACCCAGCGAGGCGGAGCGTTCCTTTCATTAATAAGGCAGATGTTCTGTATATCGTAGGTTCCAAACCTGAAACCTTTAACGATTGGTTATTGTGTGAGTTTTCCTATTATGTCTGGTGGCTTTGGTTTGTTTGGTTCAAATACCTGCAGTTTGAAACTCATCAATAGGTGAAATCAGGTGAATGAAAAACTGAGCTCTGTTGGTGCCTCCTAAAGGGTTAATATATCTGTTAACTATCACGTCTCTACTTCGCGGTTTTTCGCCTATCGCATCTTGGAAGGTAACTCCCGCGATAGACGAGGTACAACTGTGTATTGGACTGGTATTTAGACAAACTTGCCAAAAAGCACAACCACAGATCACAATCTGTTCATTTTAGTTTTTTAATCTTTTTTTTACAGAAAATCTGCCTTTAAATGACACGTTCTGCACAGAACATGAAGAGACCGGGTTCTAATTTAACAGAGTGTCCCGTAGAGGTTATTGGACCGATGTAGAGTTTGACAGACGAGCACTAAAAATGTAGCTCGTTACGTCCCGTCTCCTGCTATTTATGTTCCTCACACAGTAAAATGACACTGTGAAAAAATCATTAGGCAGAAAATCCTTGTACTTTTTCCAATGGATGTCATCAAACTTTAACACCTGCTCCTGCTCCGATACCTCGCCTCCTCAGAAACCTCTCTCCTCCCACACGGAGGTAAAGATTCTTCAACTTTTCCCAAATTCTCAGAAACATTGTTCAGAGACTTTGGAATTGTTTCTCTTTTTTTTTTTCTGTTCCTTTGTCTCGACGCCAGCGTCCCAGTGGGTGGCCTGGTGCTTTGTTGTAAACCAACTCATTTGCAAGTTAAGATGGTGCTCAGATACAGTCCTTGAAGAGTTCTAGTGTGAACCGCAATGTTCACACGGCGGATGCACAGCGAGGCGATGCGTCTCCTGGGGATCGTTACACAACAGATTGTTGTTTTTTTCCCCCACTGAAAAGTTGCTCCAAGTCTTGGAAACGCAGAGGATAAACAAACTAAACGGAACGCTGTCGTCGACATAAGGAGAACGTCAACAGTCAGTAGCCGACACTTCAGTGTTCTCCACTTCTGCTTCATCTGGTTGTCATCCACTCTGCAAGTACTTGCCCCCTCCCGTCCCCCACATTTCTCCTGAACTCCCACGTTCACGTTGAACCACGAGGGTCTGGGTTCCTTTGAGGAAGACCTCGGAGCTCTTCTGCAGAACGACCGGTCGAAGCTCCTGGATTATGGATCTGCTTCCCACACCGTGCTCTGTGTGACACCTTTGAAATTGATGCAGCGTCTTGTGTTCCTCTTTGGCCTCCGCGTCATCACTGGCCTCAAACGAAGTGTGAATGTTTGGAGTAATCCAGGTCCTGAATACTCGCTCAGTATTTCTAAATGACTCGGAGGCCGTGGGTGTAGTTTTTATTTTGCCTTTCTGCGTCTCCTTAATGACTGTTGATTTAATTAAAACTTTCTAAATTTGTGTTTTTACTGCAGTTGTTGTTGATGTTCTGTCCTGATCAGGGACAATCAGGGTTTCAAATGCTATTCCATTTCCTGCAGAGTTTTATTACTGGTGAAATAAAGAAAGAGATAAAGATTTTTTTGTATACACTCCCACACGTTTCTATTTAAATGCAGTACATTTGTCCTTGAGACTGAAAACTGCAGTTTGTGCTGAATAGAAACCTTAAGTGTTAGTTGTTTTTACCAACTCTTTGCTTTACTTTTACAGTATCACCCTGACTCTTGTATTGACCTTTCTGAGAGAAATGTCTGTCGTTTCTACAAGTCCAATTTCACTCTAGTTTTCCGGCTGAATTATTATTTTTGTAGTTTATAAAATTGAAGCTGTTGGTGTTACATCAGCGGCACAGCTACTCCACCACTCACTTCAAACTCGAACTCCACTACGGCTCAAACCCTAAGGCTACTGCTACTTTAAATCGATACTGTTCTTCATTTAGAGAGAAAACAGTCCCCCACCCCAAGAAACATTTTCACCTCTTCATTCAAACCTCCGCAGTCAATTCTCTCTTCAGCATTCGCCGGTCGCACTCTCGTAGTCACAGTAACAGGCCGATGATTAGTTTTCAGACGTTTCTTTTTGGTAGATTTTGTTTGCTCAGTACAAGCGTCACATTTATAAAATGGTAGATTTTGGTTTTTTTTTTTGACAGTTTGCTCAGTACAAACGTCACATTTATAAAATGGAAAAAACACCATAAAAAATACAAGAATTTGTACAAACATTCTACCAAGTTCAGAGGGAATATAGGCTAGAACGCATCAGTCAAACTCAGGCCCGGGGGCCAAGTCTGGTCCACAGTGTAATTATATTTGGCCACCGAGATCATATCAAATGTGATGATAGAGTTGGCTCGCCAGTACATAAACCCTATATAATGGTAGAATTTGTAGTATTAGGGGTTTATGCGTTATGGTATAGCACTTTTTTGTTGGTGTTGTTGGCTTGTGAAAAAAAATTACATTAAAAGGAAACTCGGAGAGAAGGGAAAACATGAACAATTTCAACATGTACAATATTAAGTTTGAGTTTGACAGCCCTGGTATAGATGAACAGATTAACAGAATTTATGAAATACAGGTTTGACCTTTTAGATAAAGTTTACCCAGGAGTACAGACAGCTAAAGGTTATGGAAGTTATGTAAAGTAAAATGACCTTAGGTTAGAAGTAAGAGGGGAACAAATAATTTAAAAAAAAAAAAAAATCCCTCAAGGTAAATCAAGGACAGTCTGGAAATGTAACAACACAAATGAAGCTGATGTATGTTTTAATAATATAAATCAACAACAACATTCAAAATCACAGTTACATTTAATGACAATCGAGTTTCAAGAGAGTGTGAAGTGAAGCTCAGTGTCAAATAAAGTCACTCTTTACTTAATGTCATCATTTCCATACGTACAAAGCTGCAGCAGAAAAAGAACGTGAGAATGTGACCTTGAATTTCTGTCTATTCCATATTTAAATTTTATTTATATATGTATATATTTAATTTTATTCCTTACAAAGTAGTCAAAAGAGCATTAAATCATATATATATATATATATATATACACACACATTTTTATATTGGAAATTATGCAACGTAATTTCTATCATCCGTTTTAACCTATATATATCACAGTTACTACAGTAACCCACAGTAACTTAACCGGTCCGTCCACAGAAAACGCCCCCTTCGGCCTGTGGTGCGTCTGCAGTCCCATCCGTAGTAACACAAATGACGTGTGCTTTGGCCCGCCTGTGACGTAAGCCGAGAAGCTACAGGGGATAAGCTAATAGTGTATACGGACCCGGAAGACGATTCGAATTTTAAAAAAACAAAAATGTCTTGTTCTCAAATAAACTACGAACTTTCGACCAAACACATTGGACGAAGTTGTAAATCCAAAAAGTAGGCGAACTCGACACAGGAGCAGGTAGAGGAGGAGGAGCAGCGGCAGGAGGAGAAGAAGTCGAAGGAGGAGTCCATGTCAAACTTTGGTCGCTTTTTTTATATCGAGAACAGCGTGTTCCAGTTCAAACATGGATACAATTCTGAAATTCACCAGTCACCACCAGGGCAAAGACCGCGTGTTCAGGTCAGTGTCTGTGGGCATTTATTAGCACATTTTTAAAAGTTGAACTTATTCGTTGGGTGTTTAATTTTTAAATGGCCGTTTGTGAATTGTGTAACTAGTTTTCACAGCATGGTGTGTTGAAAATAAATTAAAGATATCACATGAATAAATCATATTAAATCTAACTTTATAACAACATGTTTTGTTACATATACATTTATATATATACAGTATATATGTATATGTTATCATTGCAACAACAGTGGTTTCTCAAGCTGTGGTACATGGACCACCTTGCACCCATTATTTGTAAGTAAGGGGATCAGATTCCCACCAGGATTAGTTGAGTCACTTAGTTGTTAAATAATCAATGTTGATAAAAGTGGGTTAGTGCTACTGTATTTTATTTTTAAATGTGTTCATGCTGCGGGTGTTTGGAGAGACAAGTGTTTTCTGAGGTATATGTGAGATGGTAGATGGCAAAAAAACAAAACAATTATTTCCTGCAGCTAATAATTACATTTATGATTTAGCGGTAATTGGTTTGTTTTGATAAATTCCTATAATGATATACAAACATGTCTGTCTGTCTGTCTACAAACTGTTTGTCCATCCATTTACTGCATGTAAAAATCTGTCTTCGTCCCCAAACTCAATACAGCAGCACTGCTTTAATGACTTCCATCCCTAAAGTAATGATTTTTTTTTTTTTTAATCAAACCTGCATTTAATCAGGGTCTTTAAAAAATCCCACACATTTCCACTATTTTATATTACAAGAAGGATTTAGATATGCAGCTTGCTTTAATATCCCCTCATAAAAAAACACGCCTCGAGCTTCAGGGCTGCAGTAATGTTTGAAAAATGACATCGTCTGACAGCAAGGTGGACAGCATTAACATCTGAGTATTATGGGATGAGCTACCAAACTTTGGATTCAAAATGAAAAAAAAAAAATGTCTTTGCATGCAACATCAGTGCTAGTTTTTTTTAAAAAACAAATATGTCCAATTTAAATATGACCGGACACCTATGCACCTTTGTCTGAATTTAACTTTTACTCATTTTAATCTTTAATTTCAGGGCGACCCAGTTTGCGTGTGCGCTGTCGACGTATCTACTCAGGACCAACACAGACAGAACCAAACTTCTATCCACGCTCAAAACTCTGGAGGCCAACCTGAATGCTGGGAGAAAAGGTAAGAATCTGACCAACTCTGGACTTGACGTCAGCTCTGGGTGACGACAAGTTACTGTAATGAACACACTCATAATTCCAACTTAATATCATAAAAAAATAATAGCTGCAAAATTTCACCAAACCAACGTTTTTAGTCCGGAATCACTCTTAGCCCCGTTAGCATGTTAGTAGATTTCATTTCTGTTTTAAAATACCTTAATTCCGAAAAAAATGTTGAAAAAAAAAGTCAAAAAGTAAAAATAAAATTACCTGTAATCTGTAAAGATTATTGAAGCATCTTGAAAAGGTAATTTTGTTACGAGACAGTGTTTTTAAAATCACAAATACATTTTAAATTTTTTTTGGTATAACATCAGGAAATGTCGAATGTGAAAAAGGTGGTTTAGGTTAATGTCCAGACTAAGTCAAAACTGACCTGCTAAAGTTACACGGTCAGCCCTGCATTCATATGTTTGCTGGTTTGAAACCCTATTCTGTTGGGATTGTTGAGTAAAAACCAGAACCAGAACGACTGCTCCTGGGTGTCTTAGATGTTACAGTGTGTCTGCAGTGGGGAACAGAGGAGGGGGCTGGGGCCTGGGGGCGTTCTCCCCTGGGTTAAAAGCAGAGTCGCAGAGACGCATTGTCTTGTGGGCAGCAATAATACATTGACAAATAAAACTTCCTCTTTATTTATTGTCCGTTGCTCGTCTGCCTCCAGGGCTGACGAGTCCGGTGTCGTCTTCACTGGTGATTGCTGCTTCTGTTTCCGCCCTGTCAGTTTAAAGCAGTTCTCCCCTGACCTGTGGCGTCGAGCAGAATTTTTTTTATCTAGACATCTGCTGCTGCTCGATGAATATTTCCGTCTCATTCTCTGTGAACCCTTACGGTGATTATGCAGTTTTTTTTTGGATTACTCAGAACAGACTGTCTGACACCGACACCCACAGCAGGTGAAGTCTTATCCGTATCTTCACCTTCTTGTTCAGTTTGATATTCTGGTTGAAATTCAGCCTTTAGTCTGGGCCGAGGCCACGTGCGTCACGGAAAATGAATTTCTATTAGTTCTGCGCAACTGGGCTGAGGAAATAATACGCATTGATCAGCAATGAAAACAGGTGTACCTGAAAAAATGGTCATGATGATATTATAGGAAAGAAAGAAAAATAGCTGTAAAAGTGAAACCAGACTCATGTTGACCAACTGGTCTTTTTAAAACAAAACACATCAGCCGTTTGCTGCCTTCATGGGTCATTGAAGGCAACACAGGCTTCTCAGGCTCGCACCAGGAATTAGTTAGAAAATACACTGTTCGTGTTCGTGAAGGTGCTTGAATTTGACCTGGAACCTAATAACTCTGCTCAGCTGGACCTGCTTCTTCCTCCCTCACCGACTGCTGCTCTCATGCCTCTCGTTTTCTTCCTCTTGTTCTTCAGTGTTCAGACTGGGGAACACGATAAATTCCATTCAAGCTGCCAAACGATCCCTGCAGCTCTCCGACCGGGTTCTGTGCCTGTGCCTCACTGCGGCCCACGTCAACCGTGCGCTGTACTTTTTCTGTGACAATGTCCTCTGGGCCAAAAGCGTCGGCCTCATCCGCGATACCAACAAGGTCTCCTGGAGCACCGGCGCCTCCCGCTGCTTCCTCCTCACGCTGATTGGCAGCCTGGCCAGAGACATTTATGTGGTGCTTCAGCTGATGGTGCAGAGAGCCAGAGATGGACACTTCCGTCAGAAGATGATTCGGCATCTGAACGAGAGTCCTCAAGTGGCCGAGGTCATCGTTCCTCACCTGGACGCTTTTCTCTTCCTGCTCCTGGAAAGTCTCAAATCACACCCGGCTGTTGTTCTGGACACCGTGAAAAACTTCTGCGACCTCTTCAGTCCTTTGGACAAGTTGGGTATTTACCCCTCAAATTCAGGAGTGGTTTCTCTCTGTGGTCTAGTTTCATCCGTGATTGGAATCATAACCTACGTTAATCCCAGTCTCAGCATCAAACCCTGACGATGAAGTGGTCGGTGACCTGCTCAACACGAAGCCAAGACAAAGCTCTCCAGTCTGGGAGCGCTGAGCTGAAAAGAAATAGTCCAAACTTATAGACTCATTTGTTCGTCTAACACATGTTGAACACACTATGTCCTTTGGACAGTAATACTGAGAGAGCAGACCTGATCAAAATGTCATTACAAGCACTGTGCAACATGAATCACTTCCTCAGAACAGTATTTGTTTTTAAGGTGCACCCCGCACCCGCATCCCTCAAATCCCACACTGCCCCTGTAATACATTTACACACAAGTTCACACCGTAAACATCTTCCACCAACATTGTAATCTGATTAATTTCACCAATTACTTTTGACAGTACTAGTTCTGATTGAGATTAGCTGACGCACCGCGACGGCTGCTAGTGACGTTTATGTTGGGAGTAAGTGCGCAAGTACTTACTTGTACTTGGGAGTACTTGTAAGTACTTGGGAGCAAGTACTTGATGATGTTCAAACACTGGTCCAATTGTATTTATTGTTCTCGCTCATTTATTTATATTTACTTCAGCACCGAGGCACCAACAGACACTGTAACTCTCGTCCCAACGTCTGATTTTGAAATGTGTATTGATTATATATTTTTTTAAATGCTGCTAAATATTTACTTTTTACCCACCAGAACACAATTCAGTTACTTTAAAAAAAGTTTTTCTTTAAAAAAAAAAATCAAATTTCATACAAGCACAGCAGAATAGCGTCCGTTATGTCTGTATGATGTTTTACCTCGTCTTAAAATACCTCAATAATTAACCGACCTTGTTTATGGGCACAACGGGATGAGTTCCCAGGGTTCATCATTCGTTTGCAGTTTAAAAACTTCACCACTGGAGGGCACTCAACATTCAATTAAAATTGTATAGAAGTAAAGTAAAAGTAAAAAGTTGATTAAATATTTGTAATTTTTTTTTAAAATAGTGTTGTGTTTTTTAACAGTGTTTACAGTCAGAGTAGATTCGAGTGTTGGGACCATTGACCGCTTGTATGTGAAGAGAGAACTTGATAAGATAAAAGGCTGCAGTCGCCCTCTGTTGGCCAATCTGGCCTCTTCTTTACGGTCTGATTGTCTTTTTGGTGATTTAATTTAATGAAACTATGAATTGGGGGACGTGGACATGTTACTCGACCTGATGTTGACCTTTTTCATTTTGGACTTTATTTTTTCAAATGCTATCATCATCATTACGGCAGTTTTAAATTAAAGTCTAAATGTGTTTTCTTCTTCTTTTTTCTTTTTCGGTGGTTCTATAGTGTAGCGGTTAGCACGCCTGCCGCAGTGAGCAGGTAGTCCTGTGTTCGATTCCTAGAGGAACTTGACGCCTGTGTGGGACCAATAATGTTCAAATTATTGTTATTATTATTTTAAAATCAGAGCTCTACAATAATTGATTCAAACTCCAAGTTTTGTCTCTTTAAAGTTTTGGTGCAGTAATGTTGATGATTATTTTTGAAATATATATAAAAATAAATTTGGTTTTGTTTCATTTTGAAAAAGGTGGGGTTTTTCTGTAACAATAAACCATATAGGAGTTCTTAAGCGCTGACAGAGTAGCACTGCCCCCTAGTGGAAAGATGACAACACTTAGCTGGGAAACAAAGCTTTATTTTCCACTTTTACTCAGACAGTTTACATTTAAGTTTTTCTGAAAGTTTTTTTCTTACGACGACAACAATGTGAAAATCATCCGTCATCAGAAAATGCAAAAATATATTTGTTTTCCCTTTCACCGTACATTTGTGTTTGCTTGGAACAGAGTAGGCAGTAAAGGACAAAAGAATTCAAGGAAAAAAAAACAATAAATAAATTAGTTCTCCTCTGTTTCATTTTGTTTTTGTTTTCACATTTCCGTGGAAGCCTGTTATTTTTTTTTCCAGTACCAACGTAAAGCACATAATTTTATGAAATATGTGGAAACTGAAAGAAATGCTGTTTTAAAGAGTTGTCCAGGAAAATCCTCCAAAAATATAAAATACTAATTCTGTTGCATTAAAAGTCAACCTAGTCTAAAAGAAATGAGTAAAAGCACTTTGAACAGTGTGACACTACACAGGCCAAAACGGTGCTGGCACAAAGTCATGTTTTTTCTTCTTTTTTTTTTTTTTTACCACCATATAAACCAATCAGAGTTGAGAAGAGAGCCACTCTGACTCTTCAATGGAAAGGCACCGTCAGTAGTTCTCAAACAGTTAGCACTTGTCGAAAAAACAGCTTGATTATCATCCTGAAAAACTAAGTCCACGTTCTGAACTGATCCAATGTGATAAAACTCAGAGACCAGAACAAATTCTTTTAAGGTCCAACATGTGTTTTTTTTTTTTTTTTCGTCACCCAGTTCGTCGATTCCATTACCTTCACATTTCAGATTGAACAAGTTCCTGTGAAATGTTATTATGTTAATGACGGCTCTGCTTTCTCAGGCGGACAAACTCACATATGCATTAATTGAAAATAGATTTTAAAAAGTCTGGTTCTGACAGACACGAATAAATCAGGGATTTACAAATCCAACAGCGACCACGTTTAATCTGCGTTTTAACCTTCGTTTTCTCACCCTTTGCATAACTCAGTGCTAACAACTACAGCATCTTCTTGGAAACTCTCCTGATTATGTGCCGAGACAGAACAACATTTGAAATCCCCCAGAAAACCAAACGCAGGCATGAAGTGGAGGAGCTGATGAGTCTGAGAGAGGAGCAGAGAACATTTGGTTTGACGTACTTCTCCGTCACAGCGGGAGTGGTTCTGAGAGGACCAGACAGTTTGCGGTTCATGAAGATGATGTGAAAGATAACGTATGACGGAACAGATCAGACCAGTGGTCGAAGTGGTGCAAGATGACGGAGATGCTGAAACCAGGCAGTTTGAAAAAAGAGGATTAAGACGGAGATGAAGCAGCTGAGGATGGTGACGTAACAGTTGGCAGAGATGAGGGCAGGTGATCTGCTGTGGTGAACACTGGAGGAAGCAGCTGAAAGAAGAGGATGATGAGGATGTGACGAAGACGATGTGTGAAGAGAAGACTTGGAGTCGAATGAGGAAACTTCACAATGTGAGAAACCAACTAAACCAAGATGAACCAATCACAAACTCCTGCCTAGGCCACAGTTTGAAGGGTTAACAAACATTTACCCATTTGGGTCAGATATCAGCTTCACCCTACCTTGTTTCCCATCAGGGAATTATGGGTAAAATCAGGCAAAAAAACAAAACAAAAACAAACTTGTAGTGTGTCCTCAGCGTAAAGGCAGACTGTGATACTGCAGGCTACGTTATGTTGGTGAATTTGACACCAATGATAAATGATGATAAATAAGGTTAACTAATAATGGTCCAGTCCTGCAGAAGTATGGCTTCGAGTCAATGATACGGTTTTTCTTGAGAGGTTTGGACGAAAGACAAAAGTCTGGTAAATGTGTCGACGTGACTTTTTGTTTGCAAAATCAGCTGCATGTTAAATACGTAGAGGCTTAAATAGCGTCTGTTTTCCCCCCAAGACTGATTGTATCATCAATTTAATACTATATATATATATAAATTCAGAACATCTTCCCTAAGCTCTGACAAATGAAAGACAAAGTCAAAAAACACAAACAGGCAGAAAAGGATCAGGTGTGAGGAAACACAGGTTTTGGCTTTTTCACTGTGTCACGTGACCCTTGTTTTATACAGCAGAACCAAATCCAGCCGTTCCAGCGATAATCACAGATAACGTGAAAAGGGCGATTTCCGATCATGAGTTGATCGGGAATCTGGATTTTTTTTTTTTGTCAAAAAGAAATCGAAAGGAGATGATGAACCTCTCTCTTGATTCCTGGAATCCATTGTCGGGAGAAGTAAAGTGAAAAGTGTCTCAGTGACTCCAGGACCCTGCTGGACAGTCTTTGGGTCCTTGCGGAGGCTTTTGGTCCAGTTCCGTCTCACCCTGTTCAGGGTAGAACCCCGTCACTACGACAACTCCTGCGTCCGGTCGTAATCTGTGATCAGGCCTTTGATATGTGACAACTTCTGGTGGAGGTACTCGCAGCGTTTCTTCTCTTCCCGATAACCAGGGAATTTCTACAAAAAGATGGAAGAGAAGAGAATGGAATCAGAACTTCCATATTTAAAAAATATTGTTTACATTTTTGACAGCCGACCTCTGAGCTGATTTCAATGTGATGAATTAATGGAACAACTTCTACTAAAACAGACTTATAATCCGGAAAATACGGTCGACAGTTTTACAATGTCCTGGTCACACTTTCAGTTTCGTTCTTCGTTATTTCGTTATTTGTTAGCAGTTGGTGTGAAATGGCTAGCTTAATACCCCCTGTACATTTATGCTAACTTCTTAGTTTTCTTTATTCTTTTCGTATTAGCGTCAGCGGTTCTATACTATAGCAGCTACCACGCCTGCCTCGGAAACAGAGAGCAGGTATTCCTGGGATCAATTCCGAGAGAAAACGCCTACTTGGTGCCTCCAGGGGGCAGCCTGTGCCAGCAGAGCTGCTGTTAACACACGAATTTCCTAATTATGAGCTCAGTAAAGTTTTGTTTATGTGCCTTGTGTTAGATTAGCATCGTTTTTAGGCGGAACAGCTCAGCCTGCTGTGACCATCTGTTCAGCGCTGCTAAAAGTAATGAGACCTAAAAAGTCAAACCAATTGTTTTTGTATGTAGTTGAGATTTAAAACTTCAAATCTCTTACTTTTCTATACTTCCTGTACTTCTGTAGTATTTGGTCCTCCATGAGCTGAAATGGGAAACAGAAGAGAAAACGTGTCCGTGAGCCACGGGTCAGATCTGTTTTTACTGTTTTCACAGCGGCGGCGCCTCCTGCTGCAGAAAGTACCTTGTACTCTTGTGTCCCTGGAGACAGAGTGTTGATCTTTGATCCCAACTGAACAAACATCTCTGTGATAGCGCCGATGCGGTCGTGAAGAGCTCGATATTCGTCATATTCGGCACAGAAGTCGTCCTTGTACTGTTGACGTTGGTCCAGTGCTGTTTCACAGCTGTATTTTCTAAAAAAAATAAAGAAGAAAAAAAAAGGAAGATGGGAAATGAGGGAAAATGTTCAGAGGTGGTTTTTTTTTTCATCTGTTTCTCCAGTAGATGGCGGTGTAGTCTAGAGCAGTAGAGCACTGACACGTCCCAAATCCAAGTGCATGATGTGTGCAGCAGATGTGTAAAGCCGGGCCATTAGAGTTCGGGTCATTTGTTTTTCAAAGTCAGTCTCAGTGATGGTTTGTGACAGCTCCTTTAAACATGTGTTTCATTCCCACTGTATCTGACTGTGCTGAAACTCAGCCGCCTGAGCCTCTAGGGGGCGACACCGTGAAGTCTTCGCTGACTGACAGATCATGTACAGAAACACTGATCTTATTACATTGATCTGAATTTTACTGCGTGAGCCATAAATCCCAGCTGAGTGCGAGGATATCAAAGTGTCGTGGACGTCGTGTGTGTGTGTTTGATCTTACATTAAATAGTCCGGCGGCTGCGCCGCAGGAGTTCGATCCACAGGTGTTTTCTCCCCCTCATGCTCTGAATGGAGGAAAAACACATAGTTAGAAAAACACAGTTGTGTTAAAGCAACCAAGTGACTGCAGATGTGATAATGAGCAGCTAATATCCCGGCCGATGGAGTCGTTTATCACAGCCCGCGATAAGGGATCTGATCCAAGGAGAGCTGTGACGTCGGCACAGGCCAGAGGAGCAGGAGGCAGCGGGACCTTAGGTCGCCCAGCTGTTCCACAGTCAATCATTGACAGGCTCAGGGTGTGTGTGTGTGTGTGTGTGTGTGTTCCTGATTTATCTGTACTTTTGGGCACCTTGTTTGGAGAACATTCTCTCGATGTCATGATGTTTTTCACAGATCCCCGGTGACTGAGGGGGCATTTAGGGTTCAATGTTGGAGCTAAGATTAGAATATAGGCAAGATTAGGTCAATGTTGGAGCTAAGATTAGAATATATTCCAGATTAGAGTGAGATTAAGGATAAGGAGTGGGTTTACATGTGCAATTTTTTAAAGTTAGGCTCTTGGGAATGCAGAAAACTGTTTGTTTGCTTCTGTTTTGTTTGTCGGAGACTAAAAGGAAATGAAATAAAAATAGATGTTCAACTAAACAAGACAGGCTGTGATGGAGAGTGATTAAGTACTGAGTAAAGGAGGACGAGTAAAGTTGTAACTGACAGCTGTAGGATGTGACCTCACGTTCACAAACTGTCCCTTTTAATGATTTTTTTGATTTTTTTGATTTTTTTTTTTAAAGGTACCTTTGAGATTTTCCTGCTTCTGGTCTGGACTGGTCTCGATCCACTCTGGTTTTAGGCGCTCTCGCTCCTTGTCTTTGTGCTTCTTGGACTTTTTCTTCTTATGTTGGCCGTTGTTGAACTGCGGGTTAGTGCAAATGGAGGAGTTGGTGTGGGGGGGTTTGGGACTGGGGGCTCCAGGTGCCGGTTCTTTCCTGTCTGGTTTGGGAGCAGCAGGCGTCACGGTGAGTCTGTGCAGCGAGTGCAGACCGTTCAGACTTCCTTCGAGAGGATTGCCCGTTTTGTCAGGCTCTGTTTTGATCTGTACGTTAGAGTTTCCCTGCGTGGGGGCGCTGTTGACCCCGTTGGAGCTGCTGTCTCCGTGTGAGGGCAACAGCAGGGACGAACACTGCTCAAACAGTCTCTGTTTTTTGGGGGTTTGACAGCTGGTTGGGTCAGAGGGAAAGGGGCGTTTCTGAAAGGCAACAACAGAAGAGTGAGTGACGGAGTGGCCTTCATGGTTTGAACAGCAGAGCACAAATTACCTGTAATTTGAGCTAAGTGCTCATAGCATATGCAGAAGCATGTCCTACTCTGATAACTCAGCACCGTTTTTCATGCCAGCAGCAGCTCAGCTTTACTTAACGCAACACGTTTTAAAGTCTGTGTGGGAAACGTTTTCTCTAACTTTACTGGAAGGAACGAAAAACAAACATCACCGTGGTAACTACGTGAATTCATTTGGATTATAATTTCTGTCGTACAGTTTATGTTAGCAATTCACACTAAACATTTTTGTCGTATTACTACTATTCTGCGATCAATGAAGTCCATCTATTTATCAGAGTATCTGTTGTTTTGGAAGCTCAGTTTTTTTAGCCTTGTACACAGAAGCATTTGTTGTCACATATCATAAATAATGCAAAAAAAAAAAAAAAGAGAAAGCAGATGTTTATTTCATCTGTAGCTGCCCACATAATAGCATGATGTTGACATATGCTGTGCTAAAGCCAAAAACAAATCTGTATAAGAGAGACTTACGGATTTAGGAAATTAAATTTGTCCAGTCCATATTTGGTACTTCCATGTAAACCCCCAACATTATGAAAATGGTTCTAGAATAGTTTTTATCCAAACCAGATCTACTTAACATTAGACTTAACAACTAGATAAGATAAATATCTGACTTTTTTTTTCAGAGTGCCATAAAGGCATAAAAAACCACAAAAAAAGTAGATTCCGTTCTTTGAGGCACAGTAATTACCGTAGGGAGATTCTTGGCAGGGCTGAGCTGCGAAGGAGAGTCTCCTGGTGTTCTGTGGAATGAACTGTTGGACTGTGGACTCTTTAAGTGGCTGCTGTGGATTGGCTGAAGTTTCCTGCAGAACAGAAAAGATTCAGAGCATGAATAATAAAAAAAAAGTACTTTGTGCTGGACACCGACCTGCGAGACTGCAGGACCGGTGGTGCTGACTGGTCTGTGGAGGTTTTTAGTTTTTATAAAAAGAAAAGAAACCAAGAGCTCGAACAGGGAAACCTGATCGTTGTAGAAAACTGGAATAATGGGAAATTACAATTTAAATGAGCTGTAAACAAAGAAATGTTCTGTACCATCGACCCGGCGGCAGAGAACAGGCGTCACTCACAAACTATGAAAGTTCAGGTGTTGTTTTGGAGTAAAGTACGATGTGGTTCAGAGCAGTACAATGTAGTACAGTACAGTACAGTACAGTACAGTACAGCAGGTCGTTGGGTTTGGTTCCTCAGAGATTTAATGAGCTGTTCTGGTTTATGACACCTCTTGCAGTGAACACACAAACTGATAACAGTTTTTTTCTGCAGCAGGAAAACAAACAAAAAAAACATTTCTTTTCTGCAGAAAAAAAAATAATTACAGACATTACACTCCTGTCAGTCTGTACTTCTTGATGTAATCAAGAGCTTTTCCCCGGGTTTGTTTTGTGTCTCTGCTGATAGAATGAACAGCAGGCGGACACACGGTCCACTGTAACAATGGCTGCAGGTCTAACCTCTGTGAGGCCAAACCCTCGTCCGTTAATCTGCTTCCTACAGACTCTTCCTCAAACTGTCGCCTCATAAAAAGACAAAGAATAAACAATCCCTTCAAGAGACGCAAGAATCTGCTAAAATTATTCTGTTTGAACTTTTCAACTTTGAAAAAGGACGTCAAATCATCATAAAAGGAAGTCTGAATTAAAGAAAACAAACAATAACTTTTAGCTTGTCCGAGGCCAAACCTGCAGTGCTTTAAGCTAACCTTTAGCATTTTGACTGAAGATTATTTATAGCTTTCATTTAGCTTCTCTAAACTAATGACTTCAGGTTATTGTACCCATAGTTAACTTACTTATTGCTAAGCAATTATGTTGGCTAACATTTAGCTCAACTTTACATCAAACATTTGGCTCCTATAACTGTTTAGCTTATTTTAGCTATTTTACATTTTTGTTGAATTTATTTTTTCTTTCTTTGAAGTTGACTGATTCCAGCTTGTCATGAAGCTAAACTTGATGTATTTTGGCTAACTATCAGCTGCAGCTAGCCTAGCCTGTTTGACCGAAATGAACTCAGAGGTATGAGATAGAGGTTATGCGACCTAAATGTTTGATCATTTTTAGCTGCTCTAGCTATGTAGACTAGTTAATGGGAAACTTTCTATTCATTTTATATCTACAGTATCTTTTAGCTATTGTTGTCGCAAAATTTTTGAGTTTAAAATGTTTTAGTCAATTCTGCCTCATGTCTTGGGGAACACTGAGGTCCTGGTGCTACCTGACTCAGACTGAAGAATAATCCGGTGTGACAGAGCTGGTAGAAATAACATAGAAATAAATGAGGAAGCGGACGATGGTCCTGATGAACGATCAGCTTCAAACGGACGACTGCTCTGAACTGACGTGTCTCTAATGGACACATCAAAGCGGAGGAAAGTATTCGATGCACAGTCGCTGCCAAATGGCATTAGCCCGTTCAGAACTGAGACCCCGGTGAGGCTGAGTTTTTCAGCACAAGTCACCGCCTCCTCCCGCTCCGCCTCCTCCCGCTCCTCCTCCTCCTCCTCCTGTGTTTCTCTGCCTGCCAGTAAACATGCTCACCATGTGCTTTGGAAAGAAAAGTTGCATAACAGCTGCTGTCAGTGTCAGAACTTAGCTCTTTGTAGAAGTGAAACTGTTTTTCAAGTCGGATAAAACAGTCCCAGTCCCTCAGCGCTGCATGCACATTTCTGTGGTTTATATTAATCATATATGGTTTTTACATATGGAACGGATCATCAGCATTAATTAATGTTGATCATTATGTTGTCATGTGTTAACTTTGGTTTTCCCGTGAATGATATTTTTAGTGAGAGTCCATTGTTTACTGGCTTTGAATACACTAAAAACAAACTAAGTGACAGCAGGGGGGGTGGGGGGGGGCAGTGTTGGCTTTGGAATGCTGCAGCTCTCACATGAACTGGAGCAGAAAACAAAGACAAAAAGTAGTGAAGTTGATAAAAAAAGAATGAAAACTCTTAGTCGGAAATATCTGTGAAATATCTTTACTGTTGTTTATTGACTTATTTTTCCGATTAGAAGTTCTTCTTGGATCATTATTGATATTTCATGGATGATCATAATTTGGCCTACTAAATATTTGCCTACTTTATATCTACATTTAAAACCTACAGTGATATTCTTTGGTAACTGTTATGGCTTATTTTTTAGCTGTTCTGGCTAGATTTCACATTAGCTTTTGGCTAACACACGTGGGTTTCTGTTATTTCTAATTCTCTGATTTTCCAGTTGTTGTTAACTGTAGTTTAACCACCAAAAAAAAAATGTTACGATGCGGCTTTTGCAGCTGTCGATCACATTGACTACCATATTTTCTGGACTATAAGTCGCACCTGAGTATAAGTCGCAAACCCAGCCAAAGGATGAAAAAAAAGTGTGATATATAGTGTGGAAGATAGATGGTAGATAGAAGTTTGGTGACTTCCAACACCGACCTGATCAACATCCTGTGGATGAGCTGCTTCTCTTCTTCCAAATACCCGGGCCAGTCTCTCTGAACCTGTCTGTAGAGCTCGTCCTTCAGAGAGTAGCTGTGGTCCTTAAGGTTCAGTTTACCAACCTGTAACACACACACACACACACACACTGTTAATTAATCAACAGAAAGAGGACACACCAAACAAACATAAAGAAAAGGAGGCCAACGGAGGCTGTCACAGAACCAAAACTGTGTCGAGCTTCTGTATGAAACTCTTACGTACGAAAAGAAAATAAACCTCTGTCGTCTGCTCGGTGGGGCTCCTTTCTTCCCCCTCAGCCGTAAACAGTTTAACCTAGCGTCCGTACAAGTTAATTCAGCTGATACAAATCTGCCTAAATCGAGCACTTTCAGTTCTAAGGAGCAGTCGGATCCCAGCTGGAGACGCCGCACCCCTGCTCCTGTCAAAACACAATCTTCTCCTCTAAAGATAACTACGGCACAGCCCTAATTACAGCTACCAGCAGCGGCACAGTCTCCACTTGATGACTGCAGAGGGACATTTAAAAAAACAAAACAAGAAACCCTGACGGCAGGAAATACGCCTGACATAAATGTGCTGGCTGCAAAAGAAAGAGATGCAGAGAGTCCTGGCTAAAACCAAAGAAGAAGAAGAAGAGCCTTTATTTACACCTGCGACTGTTAGCTGTGTGGGGCTAACTGTGTCGACCGTCTCACCTCCTCCAGGACCAAACTCAGGTCCGTCTTGTCCTTGGGACTGGCCCGTTCCCTCTCCAACCACAGCAGCAGCTCAGGTTTCTTGTAGGGTTTTAAAGCCAGCAGATGAAGGAGTCGATCCCTGAGGGGCCGGTGAGCCACAGGGCTGGGAGTCAGGCTCCGCTTGTTGTTGGGCGAGAGCTTGTTGGTGCCATCGGAGCCCGACACCAGACCCTGCTTCCTCTGGACCTTCACGCACTTACCTGTGGAGAAACAAGAGAGACAAACACTGAAGATTTAATGTGGTTGTACTGCGGGGGTGAGGCCGAGTTCAGTTAGCCTGTTAGCAGCCAATCAAAAACTGCTCTGAGCAGTTGAGCTGAGCTAACATTTGGCAATATCTGAAAGAACTTTCAGTGATGAATTGTCACAATTTTCTTCAGCTAACATTATCAGTTGTCAGCTAACTTGAAGCTACTTTTATGCTAGCTTGCTGGTATTTGTTTAGACAATGTAAACATTTAGCTATTTCATGTCTTTCATTGAAATCTTGTCTTGCCTACTACCGCTTCAAACTTCTGATCTTTGTTAGCTATATTATGGCTGATTATTATTAATCGGACTTTAGCTAACTTTTAGCAAAGATTAGCTATTTGTGCAATTTTTTTTTTACCTCTTTGATAGCTAAACTTTATTTAGCACTTTCAGACTAACCCGCAGTTGTTTTGTTTTTTTTTGTAACCCTTAGCTAGCCTGTAGTTTCAGACAGCTAATGATACTGACGCAGGTTTGGTAGCACTACATAAAAAGAACATGTTCTACGTGGACAATACACACAAAAGGTGTCTGTGTGTGTGTGTGAGTGTGTGTGATATGGAAACCTTTCTGGAAAGGTTTCCCTTCAGTTCTTGCGAAACTTTTCCATCACTGGATTTCCACCACGGACTCAAATAGCTTCTTTTCCCGAGACACTGCTAATTTCTGACCCTGGTTTGCACCCAGTAGATGTGCACAGAGATTAGAAATAATCTCTATCCAGGACTGGCGTACAGTATATGTGCAAATACCACAGAGTGTGTACCATTCCTCGATCAGTCTTTAGGCATGTCATACTGATCCTGCTGATTCTGCCGCAGCGTCGGAGAGTCGTCTTATCTTCTCTGTATCTCTCTCTGCTCTCATGCGATCCTCAGTACGAAAACATGCTGCGCTTCCGCGAAGAAGCGAGTGTTTTTCATGTACAGTAAATAATCTGAGGTTGGAAGTGTGTTTACACACAGAGGCCAGTGGAAACCAGGGAATGGCTTTGACAGTAGTTGCCCCGCTGCTGTGTAAACACTGCAGAGAGGAAAGTGAATCAGTCAACACACAGGAAAGTCCTTCTTTTCCTCAGCTGCTGCACTAATTGACTTGGACCAGGACATGCTGTAACTATAGATATCTGAAGACCCTAATCTTGTTATCATTTTAAGCCGTGCCTTCGAGGTTGCTACAGGTCAAAAACCCGAGTGCACTTTCACAGAGACGACACATGGTGAGTTTTTTGATTTTTTGTTTTTTTTTACATTGGAATTAGAGTAAAGGTATCTGAAGACCGATGAGGGAGGGTCTCATTCAACAACGTCTCTTTGTCCATAACTGTCAGCATGTACTCCTCCCTGTACATCCTGACCTGAATGCTAAATGCTAAAGGCTATCACATTTAGCCTAGAGTTACCCAACTTTTAGATTAAGCAGTATTTATAGGAGGTAATAATTAGCCAAAAAATATTTTGAATCCAGCACAAAGTAAAGTTAGAAAAGTCCAATATTAGAAAATAGAAAAAAAAAACACGAGTTAGCTTAGTTACAGCTTCGCTAGGTATTTGTCAAAAGTGCAATGCCAGAAAAAGAAAGTAAAGAAAAATATTTTTTTTCTTTAAATATAAATATAAATATTTTTAATTAATAATGCTAAGTTCAAGCAAAAAAAAAAACTAATTTCAAATGAGCAGTTCTTGGTCTGTTGGTCAAAAGATCATGCTTGAGTTTGGAGGGTTGTTGGTTTAAATCCCCACCCCCAGGACACAGAAGTTTCTTAAAGTAAATAAAATGTACAAGTCATTAAAAAAAAAAAAATTGTTAGACGGGCGTCTGGCCAAAAACAAAAAACAAACTTTACCAACATCTGGTCTACTACGTTTTTTTAGTCCAGGAAGAAGCTGAGGATTTGAACTGTTTCAGATGTTCTGCAGAAGTTTTGTCTCAGCAACAGTTTGAAGCAGATCTTTCTGTAAAAGTCTCAGAAAAACCTGCACTGCTGCATTTCAGACAAGCAGCAACTGGTGGTGGCAATAAATAAAAGCAGCTTGAAGGAAGTTTGGACTCGACATCAGCAGACATAATCCTGTCAGTCTGTGTGTGTGTGTGTGTGTGTGTGTATTACAGCACCGACGTATGAAATGTCAAAGTCATGTATCAAAAAAAATGTATTCTAGGGAGAAGAACCTGATCTTCCTTCTTCTTTCTTTTTTTCCCTTCAGATACAAACGTAGATCATTCAATTCTTAGTCTTTAATTTAATTTGAATTTTTTTCCCCTGCTTCCTGAGATTAAAGTAAAGATTCTTTTTCAAATTTCTAATATTAATGTCAGACCTTTTTTGACTATAACTAAGTCTTCTGCCTTAAAAAATTCGAAAGACTAATGGCACAAAAAGTCTGTAGACGAAAGATCAAAAAGTTGTTTTTTTTTACTAGTAAACATTAGTCATTACTTAACAGTTATTTAATAGTCTTAGTCTGAAATGAGATTTTTTTGGAATTATTTACAGTTATTTAATAGTCTTAGTCGGAAATTCGATTTTTTTTTAGTTATTTAATAGTCTTAGTCGGAAATTATATTTTTTGGGAATTATTAAGTAAAATGTCACAATTTTCTGTAATAATAATAAAAAAATTCTATTTAAAAAACAATAGAATTAAGTGAGAATCTCGGGATTAAAGTCGAGAGAACTGTACAGTTACAGTTACTGTCGGAGCGACATCACGTCTGTGGCGTCCAATCAGCTCCAGCTTTGATTCTGACCACTCCTGTGCCAGCGTGGTGTTCAGATCTATGTTCTACAGTTACACTGTGAGCCTTTTGACTGTCAGAGCAATAACACTGTGGGCAAAACTTCATTAGTGTGAGACTTGTTGGGGCAAATTTCTGGCAAACTCCATCAGCGCAAATGTGCTGGCAGGCGAGCTGGCACGGCGCCTGAGCAATCTGGTCAGAATGAAAGGAAAAATGAGACGAAGCAGCGTCATCCTGCGCACATGAATAATTGCGACGCAGCACTTTGATCAATTATGTGATAGCTTCACCGCCATATGGCAGTTATCAGCGGGGGCAACGTGGCGAGAGGCGGTAGTTTTAGACGTTTTTCTGAACTCTGTGTTTGTGTTTCTGGACTCACTCGGACCGGGCTTGATCTCGATCGCTGTGCGGCTCCATATGTCCTTCTCCACCTGAGACATTCGCTCCCTGGTGGTTTGGTAGGAGTCGTCTGTGGCGCACACTGTGATCTTGTCCTGAATGCTGCCCTGACCCTCCAGGTGGTCCTTGCCCCCCCTGTGTGGAGGAAGAAAAAACAGATTTGTACATTAACAGTCTAATTATTATCAGGTTTGTTGTAGGGGCCAATCTGAGAAGTGTGGGTCAGTCTAGAGCAGGGGTGTCAAACTCATTTTCACCGGGGGCCACATCAGCAATACAGTTCCCCTTGAAGGGCCGGTTTTAAATGGAACACTGTATAGATCAGGGGTCCCCAACACCCGGTTCGCGGACCAGTACCAGTCCATAGGTCCTTTAGTACCGGCCCGCAGTGGGACACAGTGAAAAAATGAAAAACATTCAAATTTACTTCATTCAAAAAAAAAAAAGGTTTCCATTTATTTTTTTTTTTTGACAATATTTTGGCAATATTTTAAAATTCAAGCTACAAATATTGTTCATTGCTGTGTAATAAAAAAAAAACTTTTAATTTCATAGGTTGATAAACTCCGCTATGCTTTTTAAGCTCCCGCGGGCCACACAAAATGGCTTGGCGGGCCGCATTTTGCCCCCGGGCCTTGAGTTTGACACGTATGGTCTAGAGCGACTAACCTAATCCTGGAGTACTGGACTCTACTGTGTAGAAACTGGACTATTTGGAAAGAATGCGCGGACACCTGGTCACACCTGGTTCAACCAGGGCTCGGACCAGTGATCAGTGAGGTGGTCAGTGGTGGTCTCTCATTACCAATATGAACCAAAACATGTGACTGTGAGGGTCTTGACATATACAGTAATTGCCCCCAATAATCGTGCAGGCACAGAGGCATTAATGCTGCATAGGCAACGGAGAGAGAGAGAGAGAAAAAAAGAGTATCATTTAGCTTCTGTAGAGGTCAAAGGTCAAAATGTTTCTTTTTCAAATTCTCCCTGAGTCAACTCTTTAGCATGCTAGCTAACAGATGAGATGTTAGCTTCACATTCAGAACTAACGTGAACCTAAACGGCGTCCGTGTTTTCTCACTGCTCACTTCTTGTCAAAAGGCACTTCCTGTTCGTGACGCTTCGTTTTGAGGACAAATAAAGTATAAATAAAGCGGCGCTAATCCAGCTCTACAACCGCGGCTTTGATCTCGCACGACTACAAACACTGTGTCTTTGTTTTCCGTCCGTACGTGTCACACTTTTTTCGACAGTCATAACACGACCGTGTTAGGCTGCTGCTGCACACACTGCTCCACAGACAGCAGTTTGGTTTGTTGTTGTGTTTGGTCAGGGCGCTGCGCTCTTAGCCTCACACCATTTTTACTACAAATTCCATTTGTGGTCAAAACGGGAAAGACTTGTGTGTGTGTGTGTGTGAAAGTGTGTGTGTGTGTGTGTGTGCGCGCTGCTTACCCCGAGACATACTGGTGAATGCAGTCAAAGCTGGACTGAGGTTTGTCTTTGCTGTCACTGGATAAATAGAAGGAGAAGACTCTAATTCCGTCCGGAGATTCAGGGGTCGGTGCCGGGATTTTGATGTACTGTCCAGGAAAAATAAAAACACAGGAAGACAGAAATTAGTGGAAGAAACCTGAGAAGTAAAGTAGGCAGGAATAGCAACCTGTAAACTCGGAAATCTGTCACTTTTTATGATTATCAAATGTGGGGGGAAAAATGGTAACAAAATCAATCACAAAAATACAAAAACGCAAAAAAAAAATCAAAATATATGTAATAAATATATACATATATTCAATGATACATTTTTGTCCAACCAGACAATAGTTTAACTTGCTTGCTAACAGTAAAACCACGAAGCTTCAGGCTGAGCTGCTAACGTTTATACATGTGCTGCACTTTGACTGTTTAGCTTGTTAATGGCAAAATAAAAATAGGATTAGAATTTTAAAAAATTGAAGAAAAAAAAATAGATTTGTCACCAAAAACTGAAAGGAGGTGAATTACTAATTAACGAGAACAGCTGATCCAACATTAGTGTGAAGCCTGTTCACGTCTGAACGGTTTTCTTTGATCTTCACATCAAATATCAAACGGCTCCGTTCTACGTGACGGTTCGAGGAGTGCGTACGTGAAATTGGGTCGCTTCAGAGTCTCAGGTTTCAAACGCTGGATAATAAACTCCACATCTCTGAAGTCTGTCTCAGTCAGCATTAAATGACCCAAAAACCTAGTTTCACTTCAAGGACGGTGCATGATAGAAAGTCATTATCAGGTGATGTGTCCTTTAAAGCCCAATTGTTGGTTTCTGTCCTCCTCACAGCCCGCAGCTGTGTTTCAGCCTGAAAAAACACAACCGTTACGTTTTGTCCTAGATTTAACCAAATCCCCAATTATTATTATCCCCAGTCTGTCACTAACGGGCATGAATACGTGCCGACTGTTGAGCAACACTTGACATGAGAAAACTGCAACACGGCTGAAAATGTTCCTCCGTGTCTTCTTTTGGTAGTCGGCCCCGGGCCGTGACGCACAGACTCCAGCAGAAGTCTGATGAACCCAAACATCTGCGTGTTGGATGTGACTCTCTTTGCACTGTTTTTGTCTGGTTTTAACCAGTAATTCCAATTAGCCATTGTTGAATATTTACATACCAAATCTGGTGGCAAATGGTCGACGTGAACTGATTACGGGACCAGCTGTAAACATGTACGGTCAACAGCCAATGACAGAGGGAGGTTGAAAAACAGGAAACACCATCAGAAGATGACAGGAAGTAGCAAAGAGTATCAAAATAACAGATGCTAACGGTGAGAAGATGGTCGGAGCTGGAGCAGGAGCAGAGTTGCGACGTAACTGACTTGAATTCTTTGGCTTCTGTCGGTTTGATCGACTGTGCACCGCTTCGGTTGTCGTACCAAAATCGGTGACATTTGTGTAGCGTGTTCCCAGCTTCAGCTGGAAGTCGAAAGTGATTGATTAGAAACTAACTGTCTGGGAGCTTGTTGCCCCCTGGCAGATGTGTCAGGCAGAACTATAGCTGTTACAAATGCCCAGTCATGCAGCAAAACCATGAGCAGTTTTTTTTTTTTTTTTCGCAGTGTGGAGCCAATGAAAATCTTCTCTTTTCCCAAATCCCTCCCTTTTCCTCCTCCTCCTCTAAAACCCATAGCATGCTGTTCACCCTGCCCCCCATCAGCCTCCAGCCTCTCTTCATGTGCACGAGCCCACCCATGTCAACATGAGACACAAAGCACGGCCCACAAGGCCACGGACACTTGAAGAACACAGCTGACCATTAATTCTGCCCTATTTATGTCTGACCGTTCGCATGAAGTGCCGACGCAGAGTCATGCATATGTCTACGCTGGGTTTCACGCTAATTAGGAGAGATCAATCAATAAAGCAGCAAAGTGAGTGAAGGCGAGAGACAGAGCGTGTCCTCGGGAGCCGACGTTTGACCGTAGTTTGGACAGAAAGTACCGATGTTGAACTCCTGAGATACGACATACTACGTGTGGTAATTCTCCAGCAAATAATCAGAAATGCTGCGAGTTAGTTTGAAAAACTGAGGAATATTTAAACTTTGGCCAAAAAACCTTTGAATCACAATCAAGAAACATTATTTAAACAACAGAGTTACACATTTTTACAGAGATTCTAGACGAATCAAAAAAATGAATTTCTTTCGTGCAGTTTTGTTAACCAAACAGAGTGGGACTGTGACTTTTTAAAAGCATTAGCATAGCAATAGCGCCACCACGTCTCCTGTGTCAGCCAGTAGCCACAGTTTAAGTAGCGGCCTCCAGCCATGCATTATTTTGGCCTGTCATCCCGGTCCCTGCCGGCCGTGCACACTTCACATTCAGATTCTAATGGATGTCACTCAGGTCAGACTGTTGCCCCCATTTTATTCACAGCTTCCTTCTCCGGCTTTAGAACCATATGTCACTTAACCCATTAACTCCCAGTTCCTTCACTTCCCAACGGTCCAACCACGGGAATCACAAACTCTGCCTCCAAGTGTTGCACAAAAAAAAAAAAAACAAACCTCGTGTGTATAATAAATTCACATAGCTGGGTACGCTCTTAACTTAGCAAACCACCAAAAGTGAAAAGACAAAGAGGGGGTGAGGGTGGGGGGGGAAGGCGGGGGTCACAGACCCAGTCTCTAAGTATTGCAATAAAATTGTAAAAAAATTAAAAACAACCTTAAAAACCGACTAGTGATTTCACCAGTAGACGTCAAAGGTTTACAGCGGATAGACCCTAGCATAGGCTAATGATTTTATCTATAATGATATCACTAAGTACAAATCTGTGCATAGTTATTTGCTAGAGTAGTGATTCTGTCAACATTGCATGTAGTCCCCCTTCCCTGCCCTGTAGGTGGTGCTAAGTGCACACTTGTTCTAAACCATTTTTAAATATAAGAATATAAGAAGAACTCATTTTTTTTAGCAGTGACTTGGCTGTGTGTTAGCAGTGCACTTGAACGTAGCATATCAACGCGATGCTAGTACAAAGCACGTTGTTGACGTGTCAGTACCGCACTAGTACGTAAACCTTCACTTTGAGAGTTAGTCTTCACCAACTCTAGGCCGAGCTAACCGTGCTAACAGCCGCTGTCTTGCCTCTCTTTGGGCTTTTTCATTTGCTACAAATCATTTCAAAATCGTTATGTAACAACTGAAGAACGGGGGCTGCTACGTCGACGAACGAGCACATACTGTCACACATGATGAAATTACGGGGTGGAAGTCCATACTCCAGTACTGTCAACAGTTCAGATTGGTTGAGTCAACAGACAGTGTCACGTCAGTGATAACAGCCAGCTAAGGTTTGCTTACCTTGGCTATTATTAGCTGCAGTGTGTTACTGGTCACACGTATAAGGCTGCAGTTTCACATTCGTTGGTCAGGAGTTGTTGTTTGATGTCTGAAGGATTTATGTTGCACTTCAGGTGGAATTTATTCTAAAGTCCCACATTGAATTTTTTCATTGCCTTGTATCTCTGCCACTAAAGAAAATGGGATGGAAAATCCCATCGTCAGGTAACTCCATCAGCCGCTGACACTTCTTTGACAGCGTACCAACGACAAAAAGAACAAACTCTGCATCCAGAAAGGTTAAAGGCTCCATGACGGCTCATTATCGCCGCCCATCTCCTCAATTTTCCCATCGTCAGATCTGGTAAATTTAACTCCGCTCTGACAGTGACTCAACGTGTGCTAACAGGACTGACATCCTGCAACTGCTGTCAGCCACGTTCTGTAGGTGTAGATTTACATCAGGACGCTGAGTCATGAACCTCTCAATGCAGAGCTCAGCCTGGTCTCCAGGGGGCTCCTTATGTGACTCTGTGTTTGGCTCTGGGGTCTTTTTTTTGGGGCGGGGGGGGGCAGAGGAAACTCCACACACTGCAGAAGGCCCTAATGTCAAAAAGAGGTCACTAATGTCTGAGGTTTCATTACTGTGGCTGTGGATCAGCGGTCGTCCGTCAGCGTTAGACTGGGGGTTAAGTTCCAGCCTTTGTAGGTCTAAACTAGAGGGAAGTTTGAGTAAGGACTGGAATCCACTTGTGACAGAATGTGTTTTCAGGAAAATAATAATTTAAAAATATAATCAAAAAATGAAGAGGTTGAAAAATCGGATTATTTAGTTGAAATTGAAGACGCCTGAGAGACGGGTGCTAACATGACAACAGCCGTCACAGAACGTTTGAATCGTCATCACAGAAACTTGAATTTGTTCCTTGAACCTTTGAGGTTAATAGGGTAATAAAAATAAATAAAATAATTAATAAATTCATGATTTTCTAACCTCAATGCCACAAAAGGTTATCGTATTTCCCTTTTAAAGAACCAGAACAAATGTATGTACAGTAAAAAAAATTACAGTTCAGTTTTGAATAATGAATGTTTTTTTCTCTTTACATCTTTTTATATCTTTTTTTTTTTTACATTTTTTCGTGAACATCTGTTGACTAATGAAGGACAAACCTTCACTGAAGTCTTCAGGAAACACAGTCCCCAAAAACTGCAGCTCTGTCTCTGCTAGCTGCTAACTAGCTGCTAACTAGCTGCTAACTAGCTGCTAACTAGCTGCTAACTAGCTGCTAACTAGCTGCTAACTAGCTGCTAACTAGCTGCTAACTAGCTGCTAACTAGCTGCTAACTAGCTGCTAACTAGCTGCCCTTCTCTGTTGCCTCTGAACAGTGTTGAAGGAGCCACATCACAAACTCATCTGTGATTTGATTCATCACAGAAAAAAAAAAGTTTCCCTCGCTGTTACTGCTTTTTTTAAATGTTGTCAAATTCCCAGAACAAGAAAATCATTAACTTCAAACTAAATGGTTCCCAGTAGTCCTGCTACTACTTCTCCAGCAGGGACCTATTAACAATTCCAGTAAGTGCATATAGTTCTCTGTTCCTGTAGTGGAGTTTCAGTCACTGATACTGTCCATAACTCCTGGCACAGGCTGGAAACTTAGTGGGAAACTCAAACTGAACGTTTACAGTAACAGCAACCAAGTACAGCCATACTAAGCGTTGTGTCATTGCAGCGCCCCCCAGGGAGCAC